AGCTGAATAAGTAAATTGAGGCAACAAAGATGGACAAAGTTTTTAAGTTCTGTGAAAAATATCGGCTTACCAACGTCGCGCGTTTACGGAAAACAACACCAACAACAAAAAGATCTTAGTGTTAGTTGCAGTATAAGCCAAAATCAGCGCCATTGAAGTATAAATATAGTTACTTGCATTACGCGGACGATCTGAAATCGATGAACCGGCGCTCCCAGCCTTCCAGAAACATTGGCTAGGCGTGCCCACGCCGCCGATCTGTACGTTCAGTATCAAACGGGCTCCGGAGAGCCGTTTGATTAAACCGGTGCAGTTTGCAACATGGTCACCGGTTTGAGCAAACATGCGACAACTTTGCCCAAACGAGTCACCCATTTGCCCAAACGAGCGACCCATTTGCCCAGACGAGCGACCCGTTTGCCAAAGGAGTGACCTGTTTGTCCAAATAGGTGACCGTTATGGCTCATACGGGTGACCCCTTTGAGCCATACGGGCGACCCCTTTGACAAACTGGTGACCATTATGGTTAAACGGTTACCGGTATGAACCCGTTTATTTTCATATAGGCGCCAAATGGTTTTTTTCAGTAGGGAGATGACGGGGATCTTGCGCGTCCCAACTTTGACCTCGCCTTTTTTTTTTTTTACTGCGTTAGAGGACAAGCGAAGAAGTTGCACTCTGCCTTCTAACGGATGCGCCCTCCCTTTCTTTCTGCCAATGTGGCTACCCCTTTTGTGACGCGCACTACCCCTTCATTCATTTCATTCCATTTATGCATAAAGCATTATAGAGGGGGTGTGGGGAAAAAATAAATCGCTAGTAAATAAAAGAAAAAATAAAAAAGCTCGCGCGGGGAAATTTATACAACTCGTGATCAACAAAATCAGGTAAAATACTAATCAACGCCGTTTTGAATTGAGCAATGTGAAGAATTGGAACAATGGGGGCCGGCAGGTGGTTCCATTCTTGGGATGTGCATGGTACAAAAGAATGGTAAAAACCATTGCGATTTGAATGAGGGATGCCAACTTTAAGTTGATGACCGTCTCGTGATGAAAAAAAAAGCAAGTTCAAAAAGCCTTTGCCGCAGTGTAATATTAGTGTAATACATTTTGTAAAATAGGCTTAACCGAGCGATTTTTCTGCGTACTGAGAGATGTACACTGTTAGCAAAAATAACACGCCCAGACGTGTCAACCGTTGTCCCATAGCGGACACGTCAAAACGTGTTCGTTTTACACGGAGCCATCTGTGTTTTTCGTCTACACATGAGGTGCTGCGTAAACTTAACACGCCACACCGTGTTTGCCTTCCGAGAAGCGCGGTTCAACGTGTTCCTTATGAAACATGGCGGCCAGCAGCCGAGAACAGGCGAGAGACGAGCCCAGCGAGCCGCGCCTTTCAGCCGAACTGAAAGCACACAGAACGCGTTCGTTCTCGTTCGATGTCTTTTATGCACAGAAAACAGTCTCCAAGCAGCGGACGTAGCCAGGCGATCGCAGCTCCCGGCGTTCGGAGAAATACCGTATAGAGCCCAGCACCGTCGTTCATATGATTATAGGAACAACACCCCTACAAACGCCGTGGCGTCGGTGGCGCTGTCGGCGTTGTGGCGTTTTGTTGTCGCGTGGGGTGCAACGGTCATCCTCGTCAGTTTTGGATGCGCCGGACTGGAGGGTACTGTGCTGGTTGTACGGTGGCAGTGACGGCGCCGGTGGTGACGGCGAAGACGGGTCGGCTGGGTCGGCAGGGAGCAACGGTCATTGTTTCGACGGCTTCGGATGCGCTGGACTCGCCGGTGTTGCGCTTTTTGTACGGTGACGGCGGTGACAGCAAAACCCGACGGGTCGGCAGGGACGGTCACTGACTCGTCAGTTCAGTGTCGGTCGGATAGTTTTGGTTTGTGTGAAGAAAGCCGCGGTGTCGCGTCTGGTCACAGACGAAGTGTGAATCGTGCCTGGAAGGTACTGCTCTGTGAGATGGTGCGGCAATTCTAATAAGACGCCAAATGTTTCTCTGATGCTGTTCGCAACAGATGACAGGTATGGTTTCGGTTCGGACGTTTTTCACTTTGCTACTGCGAAGTCTGGTGAACGCAAGTTCTTAGTATACGTTATTATTATTAATTTAAGGCACGAGAGGTGGGCATCGTACACCAATCTGCCAAAAGATCACAAGAGAACAAAAGAGCACTATCTCTGTTCAGCTCATTTTTCGGCGGACGCATTTATAAACAGAAGTGCTTAAAAAAAAAAAAACAACGCCGTGCCTTAACTTTACATTTTATACTTTTGGCATTTGGCTGAGCAGGACTAGAGCTTGAGATAAGACTGATTTCAACTTTTCTTCCTTGGCGTTTTTTTTATTTTTGTTCCTGGATAAGACATGTTTGAGAGGAACATCCTTTTCATTTTATTTTTTTTTCACGAGAGGGAGTGAGTGTGTTGGCGTCACAAACTCAGCTTAAAACAAAACAATTAAAGCCTTTTTTTTTTTGTTTTTGAGGGGGGGGGGGGGGTGATATGTGCTGTAGTCAATCAGCTCTGGACAACAGTCAACTATTTTTTTCGAAATTATTAAGCAGGGGTGTTTGAGTATTCGTGGGCCACTTCACTATGCTTCGCTTCCTCGGTACATTCTTTTTTGGTACATCGGAGATTACGTTAGGGTATGAAAAATGACGTTATCCGGCCTATTGTGAAAATGTATTTAAACAGCGTCCTTTTTCATTTTATTATTTTTTCACGAGAGGGATGGAGTAGGTTGGCGTCACACACTCAGCCAAAAACTAAAATAATCAGTTTTTTTTTTTTTAGCGGGCTATTTAAGCGCGAGATTCTAAGGATTATGCTACCGTAATAAAACAGTTGAATGGAAAGTAACGGGGGAAGTTTTCGACTACTTTAGAGATTTTTTTTTTATATTACTTTTTCGAGGCTGTAATTGTAACTGTAATCGGTTACTTTTTACAGTGACGTATTCATAATTGTACTCGGTTACTTTTTTTCAGTAACGTGTACAAATCTGAACATAACTGATGGAATCTTGCAGAGGCAGGTACTGCTTACATGCAACGACCACTTAAATGAAAAAGAAACGTGCAATTAAAAAAAAAGTTGTTTATTTGGCATTCAAAGTAACAAGAAAAGCAACTCGTTACTTTTGAGGTAACTCATGCGTTCCTTTGGAAAATCGGTTACGAGTAACGTACTTAGTCACTTTTCTGAGCATGTAACGAGTAGCGGTATCTCGTTACTTTCTTTCGGTAACGTGTACATGTCTGGTTAGAGGAAATGAAACGTACTGATCTGTTTTATCTGGCTTCAAGTGGTGCACTTAGTGAAATTTGACCAGGCTCCCAAATAGACGATGCATACTCTAGCTTTGGTCGTACGAGTGTTTTGTACAGCATCACCTTTAATGATTGGGGTGCCAATGAGACCTATCTCTTCAAGTATCCCAGCATGCGATTTGCATTGTTAGTTACGTTATCTATGTGATGTGTCCATGTTAGATCAGGCGTGAATGTACACCAAGGTACTTATACTCCGAGACGGACTGTAATGCGTTTCTTTTAATATTAGAATCTGCAGTTACTGCTGTACATCTGGATATGGGCATAGATTTACACTTAGTTAAGTTGAATAACATTGACCATGATTCACAGCAAAGTGACACTGCATTAATATCATTTTGTAACTATCTTGATTCAAGGTTATTGGTTACTTCGCTGTATAGGACGCAGTCATCAGCGGATAGTGAAATATATAATGAAATATGAGATGGTAAGTCATTGATATGGATTAAAAATAGCAAAGGTCCTAAGACTGAACCCTGAGCCAGGGCCGGTCCTAGGATTGGGCGCCCTGAGCGGCCGCTCAGGGCGGCATCAAAAAGAGAGCGCCACCGCGTAAATGTTTTTTTGTTTCTTTTTTTGCTTTTTCATATATTTGTACACTGCGCCCGACACTATGGCTCTTGTCTCACATAGCGCTCGCTTTGGGTCACTACTTACATGTTTATTAACAATGGGGTGTCGCACCTATACTTCGTTTCAGCTTCGGTCCAAGCGCGGCCAATGTTATGAGCCGAAGGGCCAATGAAACGGCACAGAAAGCGCAACGTCATGGCGTACTCTCTGCGCCTGATAGGACTAGGCGGCGAAGGAGCCCGCACAGGGAGACGGCGAATACCGGTTGGTCCTATCAACAGCAGAGAGCACGCCATGACGTCGCGCCTCTTTCGCTGTTTGATTGGCCCTTCGGCTCATAACATGGGCCGCGCTCGGACCGAAGCTGAAACAAAGTATAGTAGAGGGGGGCGTATTTTTGTGCGTGTGTGTAAGTTTGTGTCAGTGTTTCACCGAGACCTATAGCCGCTTATGCGAGCGTTGAGGCTTTTGGAGAGGTTCCGTCGGCGTCGCAAAGTTTTGCAAAAGTAATTGTAATTTTTTTATAAAATTTTGCAATTACTGACGCTAGAAAGCAATTAAATTAAAATTCCTTTGAGCCAAAAGTAATAAATAACAATTAAAAATTACCAAGAAAAGTAATTATACTACAGTATTTCAATTACAAAAATTGAATTACTAATTAAGTATGGCTTTTCTACGTCTGCTTAGCCGCTGAGCGCTAGAGCGGAAGCCAAGTCCGGAGGTCCGGTTGCGTGAATCGAGCGGTGCACAGACTAAGATACCACTAGAATATTCTGACGCCAGGCATTAAGCTAGGCTAGATGGTACATGTATTAAAAAAGCACACACCATTAAAGTAGACAAAGGGCTTAGAAACAGAGGACACACACATTGTCTTGTGTCTCTAGTCTGTTTCTAAGTTGCCTTAAATTTATATTATGCAAATGTAAGTTTTTATTCAGTCCTGTTTATTTCATAAAGCTTGCTGATATCACGGAACAAGAAAGTCATTCAGAAGTAACGCGTCTCCCTCATATTGCCCTTGTATATTGCCGTTTTTGTTGATGCTCCGTTTTTTTCCCCCCAGGCCGTTCGACAACTCTAAACCCGAGACGTCCGATGACGACAACGTCGACACCCGCAAATTCGAGTGCACACACCGGGGCTGCAAGTACCGCACCAACAAACGTAGCAACATGACCCGACACGTCAACGGGATGCACGGAGACCTACCCACACCGCGACTATGCTGCGGCCAGGAGTTCGGAAACAGATTCGCCATGGAAGAACACCGAAACCTGATGCACCGCAGGGGCGACAGCGGTCCTCCGATATACAAATGTGAGGAGTGCACAAAGGTCTTCGAAAGGCAGGGTCTTCTGGCGCGCCACATGTGCGTGCACACGGGCGAGAAGCCGTTCGAATGCAACGTCTGCAACTACGGAACGAGCCACAAAAGCAACTTGGAGCGCCACAAGGCTGCCAAACACGATAACGTGAAGGCGAAGCCAGATGGTCAGCCTTCGAATGACAAGAAGAGTTCCCTCAATGAAGACTCCGGCATCGGCACTGACAACAGCGCTCACTCCAGGCCTGCCTCCGCAGGGGGCGGGGACGACGGTGCAGATCAGCGTGGATGCACCGAGGCTGGGCCCAAACGCACACCACTGGGTGAGTAGTTTCTTCGTAAGAGACATTCCGCAAAGACTGCATGAGGCTTGTTTATTTCTTGCATGGACGCTCCTGGCGCATTGTTCATACAAAACCTGCTGGCAGACGTGTTTCAAGCAGACGTGCGTATGAAGCAAACATGCTCCGAAAATGCTTGAGGCGATTCCGCACATGATTCTGTCATCATGTCTTCAGCGAACATTGGGTTTTGTATGACGTACGAGCAGTTTGTCTGCCTTCGACTTGATCAAGCATTTTTCTCACGTGTGCACGTTGAAACTATATCTTTTCATGGAGTTCAAAGAGTTCTGTAAGAAAAAAAAAGGCTATACATATCTTCATTTTTTTTTTCTGCCATAACGTGAGACAACGAATCACGGCGCAACGTGGGATCAACCCAGCAAGTGACGAAACCCAGAATACGAGTATACTAAAGCATTCCGATGTGCTAAGGGACAGTGGACATAATGTTTCACTTGCTCAACACTCCTTCGCACATAGCATTTTTTTTTTTTAAATTTAATCATAATATCGATCGGATCATTCGGTTGAAACGTACTCGCCTTCGCCGTCATTGGCTGTCTTCGTGTTCTGCGAGAATGTAGACTAGAAGACATATTTTTTAGAGTGGATGCATCGCCCAGGATTTTAGAATATTTTCGGGTTTTTGTCGTGACCACGCACAGGTCAAACGTTGACTCCTCGTATATTTGACGGACGTTTGAAGTTATTCGCTTATCTTCAGCCACTTCCGTCTCAAAAAACACGTGTTTCTTCTCAACTGACATAAGACTACTTGCTGAGTTGATTGATTTGAAGACCCAGCAAACAAGCGGCAGCTTCACAAGAAACTCAAGAGCTTTAATTTCCTGCGTCAGTTGTCATCCTTTGGAAAAAATTGGTAGAAAAAGGAGAACGAACTCCACGCTCACCGTTCGCGAGCGCAAGCCCCGAACTCGTTTCCATGCTTGCCATCTTGCTGCTCTCTTCTTCGCTGGTACCCGACAAGTTTGGTCCATACTCTTCACTATTTCCACCGCGAAATGAGTCACGTGCCTACTTCCACTGGTTAAAGGGGTTGAACTAGTTGGTCGGTAAAAAATCAATTTCGCAGGTTTACTTGGCAAGATTGTATGTTGCAAACTGTTCTCTGTGAGTATTCAGCACTCTTCCCATTTGCCACAAGTGCCTCGGGGCATTACAATCATGCACAAAAACGACATCGTCTACACTGAGCTTTTGACGCATTTACTAGTTGCACATGGTGCGCCGATCGAAGCCGAAGCAAGTGTTCATGCTACCAGCGTTTCCAAAAGCTGTCCGTTAAGCGTTGTCGATACTTGATCCACTTGAGTAGCTCTGTTCATTTGCATTGGCGCTCCGTTTTTGTGTTGGGTTATGCAAACACGTCAATCTTTTTCCAATCAAGATATCTCCTGGGGTTATCGGGTTGGGCTCCGTGGCGTCTGTGGTGTCCATTGCGAGAGGTCGGGAGGTCATTATTCATTCAACTTCGGTCAAAACAGTGGATAATTTTTCAAAGGTTGGACATGCCCTCCCCAGCACCATCCGTAGGGTGGTCTTAACCGTTTGCATGAACCTCTCCCACCAGGCTTTCAACAATGGGGCACCGGGAGCAATGAACTTTCATGTTATTCAGCTGTTGGCAAGATGAGACTTAAAATCTTCTTGCATCGCCCTATACAGTGCATGTGGATCGTTCGACGACTTCTTGAATGTTTGTGCGTTGACAAAATAAATCGTTGTTGGCAATCCTCTTCGTGCTGTGAAAAGCCGGAATGTCGCTTAAAAAGCTTCTGTAGGCATTGCAGAGACAAGTTCAAGGTGAACGGTGGGAGATATATTTCAGAAGTGTCACGTTCGACGTATGATTTCACGCTACCAATTGCTGCCTTGGCGAACAAGGGACCTGCAAAATCTACGCCTACAACATAAAAAGGCGAGCTTTGTGACAGTCGGTCAACAGGAAGTGGAGCAGTTGGGGTTGTGTCAGCAGTGAGGCGGAATCTCCTGCATAAACAGCAGCTGATCACTTTGCTTCTACTAATCCTCTCTCTAGTATAACTCTACTATAATCCGAAATTGGTCTCGGCGTTGCGCCAACGTGTCTCGTTCTCCTCAGTCAAGAACCTGTGAGTGTGCGTTCTGTACAACCAGGGTTGTGAAGCAGTGCTCACTTAGCATTAAGGTTGGGTGTCGCACGTTGTCCGATGCTAGCAGCATCTGAAGCCGGCCTCCAACCCGGAGGACATTGTCTTAATACAAGAATAGACTCATCTCTGATAGAGACGATTTCTTTCGAACCTTTTCTTTATCCAAGAGGCTTTTTATCTTGTCTGGGTAAGTACTGTTCGGAACGTTGTTGATCCAGTATAGTTTGGCCCCAGCTATTTCCTCGGCACTCAGTGATCCATCTGAAGGTTTGCCATTTCAACATTTCTTCAAAAATCATACACTACGCCGTCACTCTCAAATCCCGATGAAGTTCGCTGTATCTCGTCAGATCCAACAGTGGCTCAGGTGGTGTTCTTTGCTAGATCACGTGAACTGCTTTTCTCTATTCTTTTAACAAGTCCGCCTTTTCGTCCTTCGACCTCAGATCTGGCCATTCATTTTCCAGTTCAGTCAACCACATTGGTCTTGACCACTGTACATCACTCGACACCAGTCGGGACTTTGCGATGCCACCGGTAAGCAAATCCGCTGGATTGTCACTCCCCGGACAGTACCTCCAACGAGAAGGATCAGTTTCCCTTTGTATCTTCGTTACTCGGTTGGTTACGAATGTTTTCCATCGCTCTAGATCCACGTCAATGTGACGAGGGAATCCGTCCAGAGTGTATATTCGTACGGAATCTCTGGGATGGTATTCACCAGATATCGGTGCACTCCCGACGCCATGACGGCTCCTATAAGTTCCAGGCAAGAAAGCGTCTGCTTCTTGATTGGAGCGACCCGAGCCTTTACCAATAAAAACGTAGGTCTTTATGGTGGCGATGCCTTTTTTGTTATGTACGCTGCTGCTCCATAGGCACTTGGGCTTGCGTCGTAGAAAATATGAATCAGGCTGTCCTTGCACTGTCCTCTTTTTGAATACAAATCTTGGGACGACAAGTGCATCGATCTTTGGCAGGTCACGACACTATTTTTGCTTTCGTACATCAGATCTCCAGGTAGAGCACTGTCCCAAGTAATCCCTCTTCCACATAGGTTCTGAAACTTCTGACAAAGTGTATTCACTTAGATTGTGAAGGGTGACAAGACTCCCTGGGGATAGAAAATCCTAGATGCGGCTTGCAAAACAAATCGTTTAGTTCTTTCGTTAAACTCTAGGAATTTTATTAGAGTTGGCAACAAAAACGTCGTCATCCTTGTCTGGATAAGGTAAATTCCCAGAACCTTTATTGTGTTTTATTCAAAGATAGGCGTGGCGTTTCCTGGAATTGTCTCTTCTCAAGCTGGAACATCTCCAAGTGCCTGTGAATTCGTTGTCCACTTTCGAAGAGTCATTACTGCGTCCTGCACAATGGCGTCACTGTGTAACTTGATGCCTTCTTCCGTGGTATATGTGCCAGTAACCATGTTGTCCACATTGAAGGAGTGACGGAGTGCGTCAGCCACTTCCTTTTTCTGTGTGGGCAGATTTTTGGGTGTTCTAAGATCGTAGCCGTCAGAAAAAAAATGAACTACAGGTAGCACCAAAAAAGAACCCTTTTCATTCTCCAGGTCTATACCTCTTCGTCCTTAAAAAGTTGAAGGCGGTAGCTCTTGAAACCAGAGAAAACGGAATGATCTTCGGAGTTGTTTTGTTACATATATATTAAGAAATTCTTTTTGGAAGTCCGAGGTTCTGGCGAAGCGGCTTATTTTAAATTGCAGCAATATTTCAAAAAGGTCTCGATAAAGGTTGTCTCGTCTTTTCAAACATTCTTTCAGACTTGCACCCAGCTGTATGTGAGGGTGCACTGAAAACAATTTTAAGTCGTGTCTTGAGCTCATTTCCTCTGATGGCTTCAAGATGGGTTTCGTAAAATGTTCTGCCTTCGTCACCGGCCGTCATGTTCGGTGCACTTCTGACAGGCCCGCTCTTTGAGTTTCGTCGTAATGAAGGATTATGGAGTCATTCCCGAAGAGTCGACTTCCTAATTTCCGAAGTCTCGTCATCGCTGCTTGCTTGTTATCCTTAAGGATACCAGTACTGTCCTTCAACGGTACCGCCACCTCATACTGTGTGCTATAAATGCGAATGTTCTGCTCAAACTGGCGCATAACAATTGGCTTGTTGCGGACTTTTGGTCTTCTTAATATAATTCACAGGCTCTCTGACTCCCAGAATGATAAGAGAGCGTCTTCAACTTGTTCTGTGCCGGTGATCTACAGACGACTAAGCTCGATTGGTTTCTTTGCGTCTTCAGCATAGGTGTCCGTCCTTGGAAAGTCCAACACAGCTTGGTATTTCATGCAACAAGTGTGCTGCAGGTCTTACTCCGAGAGACTTCATTAGTCCTAAAGCCCAACATTTGGTCAAATCGAATAAAAATACTGATGCCTGGTTGTGCGGAAACTACTCGAAAAATTACGCGATGGAAAATTAACCTTCCATGTTACTCCATGCCAGCTACGAAGACTGGACCCCTCGTTAAAGTAGATATGTCTTGACATATGACCGAGATTTTGGTCGCTTCTATCTTGTATGCGTTCATGTTGAGTTGGCTTCTAAATTTAAGCTCTATTACATGACGCTTCTTGCACTCTTGAGTCGAAGCAGAAGCAAACCTGTTGAGTGACATTTTGGTGTGACAGACACCTGGTGACAAACATCTGCTGGTTACCACTCTCGATCACACCTCCAATGAAGCTACAGGAGGTACCGCTGACAGGCCATGGACGGAAGGTTTGCAAAAGTATTACTCCGAACCCTCTGATGTCTTTGCGGCTTGATGAAGTACAAACCACCATGCTGTACTTTGGGTCGGATTTGCCTTCT